AGAAGAAGAAGAAGAAGAAGAAGAAGAAGAAGAAGAAGAAGAAGAAGGAAGTAAAGAATAGAGGGAGGTAAGAGGTAAGTTATCAAGTAAACAAAACTAAAAAATAATTTTACTTCCATAAGTGAAATACAGCTACATAATACTCAGAAAAATCTGTCTTGTCATATTATACCTCTCAATAAATAAACTTCACAAAACATAATAAAAATCAATGGATAAAAATAAATTATTTTTTTTATGTTAGAAAAATGAAAATCAATATATTTTCAGAAATAATTGCCTGCTTTCCTTGCATAAAACAGCCTGTGTTTTGAGGGTGCTATGAGAGTGGGGTATTGGGAAGCTTTACTTTGGTTCTAGTATACGTGTATACACACACATATATAAATACGTGTGTGTGTGTGTGTGTGAGTGTATGTGTGTGTAAGGATTAGGTGGGGGAGGGTGTTGGGTTAAAGGTGCTGAATTCAAAGTCTGTGAACTGGTATTTTCACGATATATATTTTATGTATCTGTTGTTTTTACTCATCTGATATTATCTTTTTAGATTAAACACAGATGGCAGCTATGGTTCTCACCCACTTGATCTCACACAGACAACTCAAGACATTAAAATGGAATTGAATTTAGAGAATACTACCACTCATGTAATAAATACCAAGCGGGCAAACAGATTTAATTTTCCACTATCTAATTTTCAGGGTTCCAAGAGCAGACAAATTGCTTAACCTTTGTTTTCTTTCCTCAAACCCACGATCCTAAAGAGGGAAAAACTAGACGGCAAGGTAGTGAAAGAAATAAATCTTTTGTGCGAGTTTAGGCGTGCTCAGGAAATCCTTTCTTGGTGAGGGATTTGGGAAAAGGGTTTTCTAACATCTATAATCATTTGTCAACTAAGAAGGAGTATTTTTCAGGAGCCTTCACCCTTGACATTAAATGAGGGTTGCAGAAGCTTGACAACACAGTGCTCTTGGTGGGGTGTGACTTACTCAAGTACACGGTTGTGTCTTATTTCTGTAGAGCATTTTTTTTTAGGTAACTTTAAATACAAGCATTCCATTTCCCATCTGATCTGATATTTAGGACAGACAATGACTCAGGAAAGGGGGATTTATCATCCGTCTACCTTGGCACTGAGACAGTGACAGAATGACATGCCATCTGCCAAGGGAGCCCGCTGAAGCTACATTGGGATCTGGAGGAGAAGGTACCAGAGGAGGCTGCTCAGAGGAGAAAGTGTTAAATTTTTTTGCATGCCCCCCCACCTCCCGAGTTGCTAGTTGTCAGACTGGAGGATGATTTTCTTGTCCCTTTTAAACTGTTGTACAGTGGGAAGACCATGCTGTTGTTTGTTCTGTGTTACCCACTCCCTCATGAGACCACAGCACCCCTGTGTCTCTGACCTTTTGCATCTGGGGAGTGACAGGATAACTAATCCTAGATGTGCACCCCTCACCAGCAAGGCAATCATGAGAAGTTCCTTCTAGAATTCATGGCTCCGGCTGGCCTACCTTCTTTAGCCTCTCTCCATGCCCAATTCTATTTATTACGTTCTGGAGATGATTTCAGACTCCCTTCCTTCCCCCACAGCCTTCCAACCTAGCCTTTTTCTGCAGTAAAACAGAAGCAGTTGCTGTTGATTGTTCACATGGCAAGACCTCTACCTGTTTCGGGGGCTGGTGGGTGTTTGTTAGAGTCGTTTCTGGAGTGAACCTTCACTGAGATCGTCCTGGGGTCAAGTGAAGGCTCTGCCACTCAAGATAACTTTATTATTATTTTTTCCCCAGGAGCAGTCTTCTCAGGACTGGAGTGCTTGAGGGAGTTTCTCAGTGTGTAATGGACACAATTTACCATCCATGTGTTCTCCTGTGTTCCTGTGTTCCGTGTATTCTCCTAGCGTGAGAGAAAATGTGTAAGAAATAGGACATTGGGGCACAAGTTCCATGTACCTGAAAATGATGTGAAGTTTGAAACTTTAACTGATAGAAAAGATGCAGCTTTAACATATTTTCCACTTAAGCTGCGGTGATCTGACTGAGATGATCAACACAGTGAAAGCTCCAGCATAGGTCAGGGAAGAACTCCACAGCCTCATCTCAATCGGAGGCAGCTGATGGCTGCCAAGGGAGAGAGAATCACTATCCTGTGAGAACGTGGCCTCTAGTAAGGTGTTCATGACCCACTGGGTAGGTGGGTCATGAACACCTTATGTACAGCACTAACTGGACCCAAGATTATTAATAACAACACAAAATAAAAAGCGGACATGGGAAGGGAATGTGGTGGGGGACACTAAGGGGAGTGGAATAGAGGCAATGGTGGATGGCTAATATACATTGAATACATTTACAGAAATCAAAGACTGAAAGTATTTAAAATGCATTTTCTACTCTATTTTTGGTTGTGAGCCTAGCCTTTAAGGGCTGAGCCATCTCTCCAGCCTTATTTTCTACTCTATATTGAAAATGAATGATTTCAATAACTATATATATTTATTTTTAGACCATAATGACTATATGAATCAAGGTAGGTAAAGATAAATAATTTACATGTACCAATGCCACAAAGTAAACGTGCAGGAATTAGGGGAGGACTTTACTGGATTTACACATCTGAAAACATGTAAAGCGTATAATCTCCTTGTGTACCCTGGATGTCCCATTTTAGTTTTCCATCTCTCTTTCCTTTACTTTCTTTTGTTCTGTTTACTTGTCCTTTCCTGCCTCACCTGTGGGTTATACGAGGATGGACTTTGCTTGCTCACTGTGACTATGTCTGTAATGCTAGAACACACTTAGATACCCAAGTGTTTTGAATATTTTGTACATACCATGCATGTGTGAAGAGTGTTCAGTGGGTGTGTTTGGATGAATAAAAACAAGCACACACATATGTACATGGTAAGCAAGTAGACAGCAGGGCTTCAAGAGCGTTTGGAAGGCCAGGAGAAGCCTAGGGAGTAAAGGGATTAATGGCATGAGTCTGGAAGATTACTTTTCCATAGTTTTCTTGATAGAGCTCTATGTAGGAGTCCCAGTGAGTTGATTAAGACCTCCAAGCATCAACTGGAGATGACGGTATGGTATCACCAGTATGGTATAACTGACTGGTATGGTATAGCCAGTCAGAATGGTTAGTATAAAAACGTAAGCACAACTAACATATTGTTAAGAATGTAGAGAAAAGGGCATTCTTATGTGCTGCTATTCGGAGTGAACGGCATGGCAATTTCTCAAAAAAACCTAAAGACGGACCTACCACTTTATTTAGCTGTTCCATTTCTTGTTGTATACCAGCATATTAAAGAGAAACTTCCATGCTTATGTCTATGACACTATTCACTTTAGAAAAGTCATGGGATCAGCAAAGGTGCCTATATGGATGAAGAAATAGAAAGATCGAGCAAAGGCAAAGGGGTGAATATGCATAATAACATATTATTCAGCCATAAAAGAATAAAATTCTGTCATTTGTAGAAAAGTGATCAAAACTGAAGGACATTATGCTGAGCAGTGTGTGTTAATCAGAGAAAAAGAAAGACTTTATATTCTTCAAATATGAAAATTGAAATAGTTTACATGAAAGAACAAACATGCAGAAGAATAGATACTAGAGTCTGGAATGATATAAGGAAAGATAACTAAGTGAGTCACATAACAGAAACTGATTTTAGTGTTCTGTGGCACAGTAGGGTTACCAGGGTTACAGTAACCTGTTGTATGTGTCACAAAGAACTAGAAAAGAGGAGGTGTCTTAGTTACTATTCTACTGATCTGAAGAGACACCATGACCAAAGAAACTCTTTAAAAAAAAAAGCATTTAATTGGGGGCTTGCGTTCAATTTCAGAGGGTTAATGATCAATCATGAAAAAAAGCAGACAGGCAGAGAGAATCCTTCTACTGCTCTGGGCCAGCAGTTCAGAGCTTTATATTCTGACCCACAGGCAGCAGGCAGAGAGAATGACATTGGGCATGTCATGGGCTTTGGAAACCCTAAAGTTTACTCCCCATGACACACCTCTTCCAAAGAAGTCACACCTCCTAGTCCTTCCCAAACAGTTCCACTCTCTGATGACTAAGTGTTCAAATGTATGAGCCAATGGGAGCCATTCTTATCCAAACAACCCTAGGAGGTCACAGGCTCCAAACATGACAACTGATAAGGAACTGGGGGGGAGTGATAACCATCCTGACTTGATCATGACACATTATTTACATGTAACACATTATCACTCTGTACTGTAAAAACAGGAATGATTACTGTCAAATAAAAACTAAAAGCTCAAAAAGGAAAGAAACAGGACAAAAGCTTTCTAGGCACCATGCTCATATCACCTCTAAGGCAGCTCCACCATCCCAGAGTCTTTGCTTGGAGAAAAAGGGACTCCATAAGTTCAGTGTAGCTTCTCTTTCCTGAGTTTATGCATAATTTATCTCTGTCTGAGAAAATGGAATTAACAGGGTTGGAAAGACCAGAAAGACAGGATACTGTAAGACCTCTGGGTTTGGAGCCAGACAACACCTGGCTTTAAATCTAGTTGGCTTTTACGTGTTTCTACTTTTGATCATATTTCTTTTTTATTTTATTTTAATTTTGGGGTTTACTTATTTTATGCACGTTTTTCCTTCACGTATATATGTGCTCCACGTGCATATCTGGTGCTCACAGAGATCTGGAGAAGTGATTGGATCTCCTGGAACTGGAGTTAATGATGGCTGTGAGTAGCCACAGGGATGCTGGGAACTGAACCCTAGTCTTTTGCAAAAGAGCAGTAAATCAGTGGATTTAGAGAGGGGAAGGGAGGAGTTGGGGAAGAAAGGGTGGGATTGGGAAGGAATGAGGGAAGGGGCTGCAGCTGGGATACAAAGTGTAATTAATATAAAAATTTAATAAAAATAAAATAAAATTTTAATTAAAAAAGAAAGGGGGAAAAAAAGAGCTTTTAAGTACTGAGCCACCTCTCCAGCCCCTGACAACATTTTTTAATTATTTTTTTGTCATTTGTCTCCTCATCTGTGGGGCAATATAATAGGACCCAACTGCAAGTTTAACTGAAGATGAAAGAAAATAGTATTTAAAGCATTAGACATGTATTAGACTGGGGAGATAGCACAGTTATTAAATTGCTTACCATGCAAGCATAAGGCTTGGAGTTCAAGCCTCAGACCCAATGGCACACACTTGTCCCAGTGCTGGCAGATGGATCCATGAGGCTTGCTGGCTAGCCAGTCTTAGCCTGTTCAGTGAACTCCTGACCGATAAGAATCAACAAAACCAAACAAAACAACGAAAACCAAAACAACTGACCAAAGAACAAACAAACAAATAAACCTACGGTGGACATCATCTGAAGAACAACAGCCATGATTGATTTCTGGCCTCATATATGTACACACCCACACCTGTAAACAAATGTGCACCTCCACAAACACACACAAACACACACAAACACACACACACACACACACACACACACACAAATTAAAAAAAGCATAGGGCATACATTGTTTTATAAAATTGTGAGGTGAGAGGGAGAAGTTACAGGAGAGGAAAGGAGGGAAAATGGAAAGATAGAAAATACGAAAGTGATGAGGAATGGAAAAGGATCTTCTATCCATGTATAGTACGTGGGCATAAGTTTCCACTATGGCCCATAAATATGGAAACAGATGGCTGTTTAAGCTTATGTGTTTAGAAAGAAAACCAATGAGTATGTTGTTGAGGTTAGAGGGAACAAGTCCATGTGAAGGTCACTGGCATATGGAATAATTTATGCATATTCATATATCTGGCTGCCTCACATCTCCTCAAATTTCTTATTCTTGCTGCAGAGGGAGGAGGGTATGAGCAGAAGGTGAGAGTCTGGTTAGTTTAGTCCTGGCTTGGTTGACCATGGGAAAAGTGTGTGTGTGTGTGTGTGTGTGTGTGTGTGTGTTTGTGTGTGTGTGTGTGTGTTTGGGAATCTTACCTCATCTGTATGCAGTGGGTATATATGAGAACAACTATATCTTTTAAAATAAGAACCCCAGGAATCTATCTAGTTAATGTTACATCTTATTTTGACTTATTTTCCTATGATTTCTTCTTTATATCAAAGTAGAGATAGCAGATTGTAATTTCTAGGTTGAGTATTATCAGGTTTTATTATCAATTGATTTTATGTCAGGACAAATTGGGGCCATTATAAAATACTAACTGAAACAAAAGCACTGGGTTAGAGAGGCTCAGAACCTTTGGTGATTACAAGCGTGTCTTTAAAAATCCCGTGCTCACACAGCTCGAATTGTCTCAAATCCTAGGCAACAGCTCCTGAGTTCAGGCTTTCCCCTTCTAGTGATCCTCTGCTGACCCATGTCCCATGGTTTCCACTCACAGCTCAGGGGTGAACACATCTGGAGGATTCTGAGAGAGGTCTCCAGACGGAAGGCTTTCTGCAGGTTTCTCCAGGCTAGAGACATCTCTTTTCTGGCAGGAAGCAGGTCAGTGGGAGGTTGGGCTCCAAATGCTCACTGACCGGCTGGACTTTGCTATTAGAAGAGGGAGGCGGCTTTATAAAGGGAACTGTAGACTGTAGACTATAAATGGACTTAGGTAAACCCTGGAGTCTGACTTTGTTAGGAATGGTGCCTTAGATGGTGAGGAAAATGAGGAGAGAAGTAGAGAAGGGTTAAAGGTGACAAGCCGAGAGAGAAAGGGTGGCAAAAAGAGTTTGGAAGGAAGGAAAGGAAAAAGAGGGTAAGGGAGAAAGAAGGGATTGAAAAAACAAAACAAAACTAAGTTCACTGGGGCTCATTTTGTAAGCCTTGCATTCCACCCCAGGCCCACCAGAGTGAATTGCTCTGCAAAAGGGCAGTGGCAAAGTTACTTTGGATATAAACATTTATATCCAAAATCGTATCGTGTATAAAATATTTCTCACACGTTCATGTGTTTTAATACTTGGCCCCTGGCTAGTGGTACTGCTATGGGAGGTTACAGGACCTCTTAAACATGGAAGCTAGTTAGCAGATATGGGAACACTGGCATGGATCCTGTGAGTGTTTGGTCGACTATGCTTACATCCTAAGCTGTGCTCTTCCCTCAGCGCCATGTAACAAGCACATCTGCCCATGGGCTGATCTGATTCAGCCTCCATGACATTCCTGTCGGCACCATGATAAACTGTACTCTCTCAAACAATGAGTTAAAATAAGTCCTTCCTCCCGCCCCCAACTTGCTCTTGCCAGGTTTTCAGGCAGAGTGACAAGAAAAGCATCCGATACAGCAAACTGGTTGAGAAGTGGAGGCCACGGCTGTAATACACTTGACCATGTGGCCTGTAGCCCTTTAGAATTGCATGGTGGGAGGAATGTGGAACAGTTTGGACTTGTGGACTATAGCAGCCCCAGAATGTTGTCAGCAAAACCTAAACGGCTGTGGTGGTAGCAGTCAGAATGGGAATGGGACATGGGCAGTACCCATGAAGTTTTGGAGGAAAACAAGGACAAAGTTGGAAAGTGAGACTGAGGTCATTCATGCTATATTTTAGCAAAGAATCTGGCTTTGTTCTACTTATGCTCTGAGATCTGTATGAGGTTGAATTAAAAATTAATGGGATAATTTTTTTGGGAGAGAGAATTTCCACACAGCACAGTAGCCAGGCTGTGCCACAGTTATCACAGACGACTTTAGACTAATTTACAGTGAGAAACTGGGAAAGAAAGTGGAGCTGAAAGATGTAAAAAATGTACAATTTTGGTGATAAAAGAAGTGTAACTTTATAGTTGTACAGAAAGTGACTGTGGACAAAGTGTTAATTGTGAAAGATATTAGTGCAATCAGTGAGATAGCTTGCATTCTGCCTAGATAAGAGAAGTGGTGTCTTGAAGGCAACACTTCTCTCTAGGGCAGTGGTTCTCAACATTCCTAATGCTGGAACACTTTAATACAGCTCCTCCTGTTGTGGTGAATCCCCGCCCCCCCATACAAAAAAATACTCTCATTGCTACTTCATAACTGTAATTTCGCTAGTATCATGAATCATAATGTAGACAGATGGTATTCAGGATGTCTTGATATGTGACGCCTGTGGGGCTTGTGACCCACAGGTTAGCAGCCGCTGCTCTAGGAACATCCTGCTCCAACATCACTGTCTAGATAAATGTTCTTCCTGATAAAGAAGTGTAAGCCCCCAAGACCAAAGCAGTCAAGCTCCAAGGCGGAATAGACTCCATCTAAAGCTCCAAGGGGGAATAGACTCCATCTAAAGCTGGCAGCAGGATGTGTTGCCATTTATGCAAACTGTTGTGCAGCCATGAGTGACAGGCTCATGGAAGCTCGAGGCATGGACATGTGCTACCTGTCATAGTCCCTGTAACAAGGCCATCTTAGGCCACTGGCCAAAGTTGTACAGGTGGAAAATATGTTGAAGCGGAGACCCCTGGATGTTCAAGCCATCACAAACACGTGGACACCATGGAAATCTTCAGGGACTGGAGTGGAGCTAGCCCAAGAGAGCTCACATTTGCCTCAGGTGGCATGGGCTTAGTCAGGCCAATTGTAATTCAGATGCTGGACAAGGAGCTTCAGGATTTGGCTTATGCCTTGCCTTGGTCGGGTCTTTTATTTCTCTATGTCCGCACACATCCATTTTGGAACAGGAATGCTTACTATATGCCACTGTACATTAGAAGTCTAACTTTTTTTTTTGTAATCAATATGGCATATTGTTAAGAGATTGTCTGAATTACAAAAAATTGCTGGTTATTTCAGTTTTATAACTGGGTACTTTTTAAAACTATATTTATTTTTATGTACATTTGTTTGTGTGAGAGAGTTGGATCCACTAGAATTTGAGTTATAGACCAGACAGTTGTGAGCTGCCATGTGGGTGCTGGAAATTGAACCAGGGTTCTCTGGAAGGACAGCCAATGCATTTAACCACTGAGCCATCTCTCCAGCCCTGCAGAACTGGGGACTTTTGAAGTTTGACCAGACTGATTTTGCTCTATGAAACAGCAATAAGCCTCAAAGGCCCAAAAGTGTTAGGTTTCAATGTCAAATATATCCCTAACCACCTCATGTATTTGAATGCTTGCTCTCCAGCTGTTGGCACTTTTTGGGAGATTATTAAACCTTCATCCATGGAACATATATTGCAGAATTATGATGAAGAGAGTGAAGATTGATTTTACTTCTCACCCAGGCTCTCTCATTTCCTGCTTTGGAGCACTTAATAACAAACTTCCTCCTACTGGACCAGACCAAAGTCCAGCCTTCACATATGCATTCCCCACTATGATGGATGAACTGGACTCTCTTAAGCCATGAGCCAAACCAAATCTTTCCCCTCTTAAGTTGTTTCTATCAGGTATTCTGTCACAGCGTTGAGAAAGGTAATGGAAGAAAGACAAGGATTTATTTGAAGGGGTCAAGGATTGAGAAACTAGGAATGTCGATAAGAAAGACAGGAGGGGGATCAGCGTGAAGAAATTGATTTAACTGGATGTAATGCTCATGCTTGTAATCCGACCTACCTGGGAGGCTAAGTTTGGAAGTATACAAGTTGAAGGCCCATCTAGGCTATATAGTGAGTTGAGGCTAGTTTGTGCAATGTAGTGAGGCCTTGCTTTAAATAAAAATAAAAGAGGGCTGGTAGAGTGCTTGTCTATCATAGACATGGACCTGGGTTCAACCCAGTATTACAAAGTAAAAAAGTGGAGTGATAAAGAAAAGACATGAGCAACAGGGAAAGAGGCATTCACTGTGAAGCCCTGGATATACTTAGATTCTTTTAGTTGCTTGAATGGAGCAAGGTGTTGACAGTTGTGGAGTGAGAGTGATTGTTTTCCATAATATTTTTAATTTCTTAAATTCTCATTTATCAGTTTCACCCCCTTTTAACTCTAATCTCTACAGGCAACTATTTATTATAATTATAGATTTTTGTGGGCATGTGTATTATTTGGGATGAATGCATTTTCATGTGAGAAGTATTATTAATAGTGACAATACTGTTGTTGTTATTTGTTGTGTTGAGGGTCAAGCACAGCGCCTTGGAGCTGGCTAAACAAATGATATACGACTTAGCTGCACCTTCAGCCCACGCACATTTTTGATTTATGTACATGTATGAAGTGTGCAGTAATTCTTTTTATTTTATTCCCATTCAGAATCATAACTTCATGATGCAACCAGCTGGCTATGAGACCATCTCTTCCAGGCTTCTGCCATTTAAAAGTGGGTGTCAATGTTTTTTTTAATTTTTATTTTTATTTATTTATTTATTTATTTATTTATTTATTTATTTATTTATTTATTTTATAGCAGTACCTACATGAGAGGCAGCTACAAACAATTAAAGTTGGGGAGGGCAAAGAGGTGGGGCAGATGGTCTCACTCCATCTTGCAGAAAGTGCTGTGGTAAGTGTTGTCCTCTGTTCTCATCCACTTGTTCAGTGAGAAACATGCACACAAAGAAAGAACAGCAAATCTTTATTAAGAGAGATGTTTTCACCAAGGTAGGAGAGGACTAACAGGGAGGATGGAGGGGACTGCCCCGAGTGCTTTATCTGCCTTAGCCTTTCTGCTTTATGGCATCTTTCCTCTAATTTAGGTTTACAATGTTTTCTCTTCCTCAAATATTATCTCAGAATTGGTTTGAAGTAGACATTATTGATCCCTCTTTGAGTTTTCCTCAGGTTCTTCTTTGCTAGTTTTACCATCTTACAACTCCAAGGTAAAGATAGCCTACTATTTTGGAGGCTGTCTTCTTTTTATTTATTTATTTTTGGTTACTTTTATTTAGGTGTATGTGTGTGAGAGGGTGATAAGTATGTGCAGATGCCCATGGAGGTCAGAAAAGGGTGTTGGATCCCTTGAAGCTGGGATTATACGCCATAGTAAGTGATCCTACATGGGTGCTGGGAACAGAACTGTGGTCCTCTGGAAGAACAGCAAACATTCTTAATCCCTGAGCCATCTTTTCCAGCGTTGGAGATTATCTTATCATGAGAAACTGTGCCAGAGTCTCTAACCAAGTTGCAGAAGCAGGCCAACTACCACCCGTGTTTTTCTTCTATTTTTCTTCCTGGCCTCTTCCCTTAGCCTCCACACTCTCCCCCCGAGCTCCATTTCTTATGTCCAACTCGCTCCTAACAAAAAAGGCAATTGGCTCTGACATATCTTTCAATACCACTCAAGAAATTATGTTTTACTTAAAATGCCCACAGGAAGCAATGGTGCAAGGTAAGGACAGAATTGGTATAATTTCAATACAAATTGTGATCTCCTGCTGGGATCTCAGCCCCAGCCCATTATGTTTTGAGGGCCTTCGGGAGCAGCCAATCAAGCGCGGCAGGACGGTGCATCAGTGAGGGCAGTGGGCACGGCATTTCTTCTTGGCTCAATGTCTGCCGTGCTGTCGGACTGTGGGGCATTAGGTGCTGACTCCCCCGAAGTGTGGCTTATGTTCTGATCCTCTTCCGCACTATTGGTTATTTTGTTTGGGAACACTATAAACTACA